TAAAGAGCTTATTTAAAGTATCTAAGATTGCACTAGTATTTTTATAATTAAATAATTATTGTTTATATATTTTTTTTAATAGATAATTTGAATGCTTTTAAATATGTTTTTAGTTTTATTTCCTTATTGGGTTTATTAATTATATACTGAAAATAAATAAAAATGCTAATATTTATATAATTTATGTAATTTTTTTTATAATATATTGTTTATTTGTTTTTTTTATACAAAATTTTTAAATAAATAAAAAATAATTTATATATAAATTTAATAAATATTTTTATATTATATAATTTTTTTTTTTTATTTTTAAATATATCATTTTTTATTTTACTATATATATAATTTTTATTTTTTTTATGATAAAAACTATATTTTAAATATTTTATTTTATAATATATATAAATATTTATATTAATTAATAAAATATTTTTTATTATAATTAATATTAATATAAAATAATAATAAATTCTTTTAATATTTATATTTATATTAAAGCAATATTTTTAAAAAAATAAAAAGAAAATTTATTAATGTTTATAATGAAAATAATTATATAGTATAAGTAATAATTAATATTTAAACAAATAAATTAAAAATATTTGAGAAATTAAAAGATTATTAACTTTATTTATTTTCAAAAAATAAATGAAATTGCATATATAAACTATAAATTTTAACTTACTTTCACAATTAATTAATTAATTAATTAATATATTTAAATATTAATAAAGTGCAAATATATAATAAAACTATTTAATTTGATATAAAATATATAACCTATAACCTTATCATATAATAAATTTAATTAATAAAAAATAAAAAATTATAAAAAGTTATAAGTAATAATTGTAACTAATAAATAAAAGAATTTATTTTAAAAATGATTTATATAAAAAAATAAAAATATATAATTAGAATTTTTATAAAAATATGAAATAAAATTCATATAATTAAAATAATATAAAAATTCAAAAAATTATATTTTAATAATTATAATTAATTTAGGATATTAATAAATAAAAAATTATTTTATATAGTAAATATAAAAATATTTATATATATATTAAAATATATAAATATATAAAAAATATATATATATATATATACATGTATTAATGAATATATCTTTTTATATATATCATTATTTTTGCATTAATTTTTTAATTTTTTTATATTTATATTTTGCATTTATTAAAAAAATCTACAAAATTATTTAAAATAAATATATTATATAATCTTATTATTTATATTGTAATAACTATATTATTTTTAATATTGAATATAATAGTAATATTATTAATTATTTTTATATTTCTTAATTAATATAGAAAAATAGGATATATATAAATTAAATAGCATTATATTTTAATATTAAATATTTAAAGTATACATTTTTAATGAATAATTTTAATAATTAATTATCTAATATTTTAATAATTATTTTAAAATTTTTATAAAAAATGAAATAAAAAGAATTTAAAAAATAACATTATACAATTTATAAATAATAATAAATGTTATATTTTTTTAAAAACAAAAATTAATTTAATATTATATTTATAAACAACTATTAATATAAAATTTATTTATAATTATATTTATTCAATAATTTTAATATGTTAAAAGAATTATTATAAAATAGAAAATAAAAATATTAAATATTTATTTATAATTTATGAATAATTTTGTATATTTAAAAATACTAATTATACTTGTAAATATAATATTTTTTTAAAATGTAATAAAATATATATATATAGATAAATATTAAACTTTAATCATATAAATCTAATCTATTATAACACTATTTATTTTAAAAAATAAAAATAATAATAATTGAGAAAATAAATAATGTTATTTTTATTTTAAATAATATTAATATATAGATATATTTTAAGGTATATTTATTTACTATATAATATTTATAATTAATTAAATTTTATGGTTTATGGATATAGAAGATTTTTTTTCTTATAATGAAATAATTATCTATTTAATATTTATATACAAAAATAAAATTATTATAATTATTATTTTTTAACAAATAATAAAAATAAAAATGTAATTAAAATCTTTAATATTCTCAATAATATTTCTTTTTGCTTTAACTTTATAAGACGAAGCTGAATAACGTAAAATTCATATTTATATTTTATTTTGTATTATTAATAAAATATTAAATTATTATAAAGTTTACAATGAATTTATAAGCTGTATAAAGTAAAAAACTAATGAATTTGTAGAAAAAAATAAGAGTTCTGCAATATCTGAAAAATCATAATCTGACTTATTAAAATTTAATACTTGTTTCAAAGATTATACTAGTAAAAATAAACCTTAAAGATTAATGGAATAAAATATTGAGAATGTTAATTAATAATAAAGATTCTTAGTTGACTACAAATAATCTATATAAATTCTAAAAGATGCATTTACTAAATGCGAAGTGGATATTTAAGATTAAAAAGCTATATAATTTATTAATTTTCTCAAAGAATGCATAAGTATTTATAATTAAATAATTATTGTTTATATATTTTATTTTAATAGAGAGTGTAAATGGTTATAAATTTATTTTTAGTTTTATTTCATTATTGAGTTTATTGATTATATACTGAAATAATTAAATAACTAATATTTTTACATATATATTTTATTTAATTATTTTTTTTTATTTTTGGTTTGGATTTAACACATTATTTTTTTATTTTATTTTTAATAAATAACAAAAGTTAATATCTATTATTGATATAAAAACTTAAATAATTTTATATAATAAAATAATTTATTTTTAAAACAAATAATTTAATTAAAATTTTTATTTATTTAAATAATAAAAAGAACTATATTTAATAATTAAAAAATATAATTTTAAAATTAATATTATAAAATAATATATATATATATATACATATATATATATTTAGTACTATTAATATTAGATTAAAAAAATATTTTCTATTACATATATATTTATTTTATAATAATATTTATTTAAAAATAAAAAAGTAATTTTTTAAAAATTATATTGAAAATAATTTTATTCCTTGTAAATAATATTTTAAATGAATTTATTTATAACAATTTAGAATTTCACAGGCAGTTAACATTTTATATATTACATAGAAATAAATGAAATTGCTTATTAAAAATATAAATTATTAAAATCTTAAGAAATGAAGAAATTTAGTTATATAATACTTATTTGGTAATAGAGGATATCTATAAAAACAAATTTTAATTTATAAAAAATATATAACATTATTATACTATTAATTTAAAAATTTAGAGTTTTAATAAGTTATAATGATTATTATTTAAATATTTAATGATATTATGTATTAATTTGTTTTATTAAATTTATAATTAGAATTTTTTTTTATAAAATTAAAATAAATTCATATGATTTGTTAATATAAAAATTACATTAATTAATATATTTTACTTTAATTATTTTTTTATATAAAAATATTTTTACTTTAAGATATTAATTTTTTAAAAAATAATCTAATATATTAATATAATTTTATTAATTTTTATAAATTTTAATTAATTTTTATTTAATTATTTTAAAAATATATATTATATAGATTTTTTTTATTATTATTATTATTATTATAATTATATATATATTAATAAAATCTTTATAAAATACATTATTTTTAAACTTTTAATATTTTATTTTTCTAAATGTACTTTATTAAATAAATAAAACTATTATTTATTTATAATTTTTTTTAAAAAAAATTACAAAACTTATTTATGAATTTATTTATTTGTTTATTTCTTCTTTTTTTTAAAAAAAAAATAAAAAATTTAAAATAATAACTTAATTTAAATAAAATAATGGAAATAGAATAATTAAAGTAATACTAAGTTGATTTTTAAAATTTCTAATAAAATTATTCTTTCATTAATTAATTATCAAATATTCCTTTTGGTGATTATAAAATAATGGTAAACCTAAAAACTAGATAAGAAGTTATTGTAAAGCCTTAATAAACCCAAAATCTTTAAGAAACATAAGAATTATTATAAACTATATAAGAAATAAATATAAAATTAAATACAAAAGAACATTTTTTAAAATTTTTGGGATTTACAGAAACTCCTTTATAATTAAGAAGTTCTCCAGAAATGAATATTATATATTTAATATTCGAATATTATTCATAAAATATCGAAAATATGTGGGAGAAATGTATTTAAAAAGAAAAAATAGAGGATTTATTAATAAGATTATTTAATAATTTAATTGACTGTTTTTTATTTTTGGAAAAAATAGGATAATATCATACTGATATATCAATGCAAAATATTTTATGTTTTTATTGCGAAAAAGAAAAAAATTCAAATTTAAATTAATTTATACACAATATACAGTTTCAGCATACAGATAAGTAAAGGAATTTTCTTAAGAATAATAAAAGTATAAAATATATTAAATTATTAGTCATATATTCATATATATTTTATGTTATATTATTTTAAAAAATAAATAAAAAAATAAAAAAAATTTAATTGACATTTTTTAATTGATAAGTTTTTTAAAAAATTATAAAAATATATAAAATTTATATATAAAAAATATATTTATTAATATTATAATATAAATATATAGATATGTTTATTTAAAAAAAAAAAATATAAATTTAATATATATTTTTATATTTTTTTATTTTTTTATTTATATATATATATATATATATATATATGTATATATATTTATATATATTTATATATATATTACTTATTTAAATATAGTTATTTTTTAGCACCTGAAATATTACATAATTAAATAAATTAACTTAATCTTTAAAATATTGATGTATTTGCTTTTGGAGAATTACTTTTATTTTTAAGTTCTTTTTATAATAAATAAATATCTATGAAATAAAAAGTTAAACTAGTTAATAATACTTTTATAAATTATCTTTTTGAAATTATAAAAGAATTTTATTCTATTTAATATTTAATATTGTTATAAAATATGATGAATGAAGATCCTTAATAAAGACCTAGTTTTTTATAAATATATAATAATTTATAAAATATTTGCATATATAAAAATATAGAAGGTTTATATATAAAATATATAAATTATAAAATAAATATATATAAAAATATTTATTTATATCTATATATATATTTTTATATATTTATATATATATATATATTTTTTTTTTTTATATTTTTTATATTTTTTTATTTTTTTATTTTTAGTATTAAATATCTAAAATTAAATATTTAATTTGGAAAAACTTCCATTATAAGAGAGAGCTATAGAAATTAAAAATGAAATTTTTTCAAAAAAAAAATAACTTTTTGAAAAAGAAAGATTTTAAAGAAGTATATCTAATATCTAGAATAAATTTTAATAATAAAAATCTTAAATTTTTTCTACTCCTGGTAAAAAAAGGACAAGCTAAATTATAGAAAGTTGTAAAAAAAAATCTTTTAGTCCTTTTTCTTAAAGTCCTTATTAAAGAAATTCATATAATATTGTCTAAATAGTCAATTAAAATTCAAAAAAAAAAGAAATTCATCATAATCGTTCATTTTATTAAGTTAATAAAATTTTAAATTTAGAATAGAAGGAAGCCTTCGATAAATACTTAAAAGATTTGGAAAACAAGTATATTTATGATGAAAATGGCAAACTTAAAAGTAATGTATAAAGGAAGGAATATTTAGATGGTTCAGTTTATATAGGAGAGACAATTTTAAACGAAGAAAAATAAGAAATAAGAGAAGGTTATGGTATCTATTATTATAATAATGGGGATAATATGGAAAATTAAATGAAATTTATACATGATGTATTCAGTGAGATATACGCAGGAGGTTGGAAAAATAACGTTTTTTAAGGAAATGGGGTTTATTTATTTTCTACAGGAGAAAGATATGAGGGAGAACTTTAAAATGGACAAAAACATGGAAAAGGATAGTATTTTTATGTTAACTAAAATCATTATTATGGAGACTGGTTTAATGATTTAAAACACGGTTTTGGGGTATTTAATATATATTTAAATAAAGAAAAATATGAAGGAGAATTTCAAAATGGATTAAGACATGGAAATGGAGATTATTATTATAATAATGGAGATTTGTAAAATATATATATATATATATATATATATATATATATATATATATATATATATATATATATATATATATATCACATATAAAATTTTTTTTTTAGGTATAAAGGATAATGGGAATATGGGTAAAAATAAGGGTTTGGTGAAGTTTTTTTTTAAGATGGAAGTTATTTTTCTGGAGAATGGAAGAGAAATTAACCTAATGGATTCGGAAAAATTATTTATAATAATGGAGACGCATACGAAGGAAATTTTGTGGGCGGGTTTAAGGATGGGAACGGAGTTTATTTACATAAATAAGCTAATTCGAAATTTGTTGGATTTTTTAAAAAAGATATGCCTTTTGAATTTGGATAGTTTTTTTACGGGAACAATGATAAATATGAAGGAGAAATAAATGGGACTTAAAGATATGGAAAAGGGACTTATACATATTCGTAAGAATTAAAATTAAATATTGTATATATATATATATAAATATATATATATATATATATATATATATATATATATATATATTTATAAAATTATATATATTTCTATATATTTATATTTTTTAGTAATGGTGAAACATATGAAGGTGAATGGAAATATGATAAAAAAAACGGACTTGGTGTATTTCATTATTAGGATGGGTCGGTTTATAATGGATAATGGTCTTAAGGATAAATTAAAGGTTTAGGAACTATGATTTATAGGTTTGTATATTTTATTTTATTTTTATAAAAAATAATAATAATAAGTGATGGATCTTAATATAAAGGTTAATGGACTAAAGATTAAAAGCATGGAAATGGAATTTACAAATGGTCAAATGGAGCTTGGTATAATGGAAGTTGGAAATATGATAAAATGAATGGGAAAGGACTATTAGTAAAGGATAATTAGAGAATTGAAGGTACATGGAACGAAAATAAATTAATTAATAAGATTTGATTTTGAATATATAATTTTTAACTATTTTTTTATTTTTTTTTTAATTGTTAATTTAAAAAAAAAATCTTTTAAAAATTATATATATATATATATATTTATTATTATTATTGTATTGTAATTCATTCTATTATTATATAATCGATTTTTTCGTTATTTTATTCATTATTATTTTAATTGACTTTTTATAAGCTATTTTTTTAAGAGCTTTTTTAATTTTCATTTTAATTTTCGTTTGTAAGGAGAATTTATTATTAAGATATAATTTATTATTAAGATATAATTTATTATTGTTAATTTTAAGTTGTCTTATTAAAGGAAGCTTAATAAAAACTATTGGCTTAATTTTGATTTAATTATTATTATTATTCAATATTAAACTATAAATTATTATTTGAACTAATAGTTTCGATGCTTTAATTATTTTAATTGGAATAATATGATTATGAATTTTTATTATTAATTTCTTTATTTAATTCAGTATTTTTATCTGTTTTATTTTTCATTATTTCTTGTTAATTTGATCTTTATGAATCATCTTCTTGACTTTTATTTTATGTTTTTTCGTTATTTTCTATTATTGATTCCATTTTTTTTTATATTTTCATATTTTTATTATTTTTAGTTTATTTTTCGGTTATTTTACCGTGTTCTTGCCTTTCTTTTTTATTTTAAGTATGTACTTTTAGTTTATATATATTATGAGTTTTTAATTTTATTTAAAGATCATCTAATGTATATCTTTATTTTATTTTTTATTAAAATATTAAAACTGTATTTAATTATTTAATTAATTTTATTTT